GGGAGATCGACAGGGAGTGGGGGAGTGGAGGACGAGAACGAATAAGGGGAAGGGGAACGCACGGTACGCGGGCATCTCCCCTCTCGCGGCGCCAGGCGCTTACCACGCAGATCGACGATGCGACGGCCCCCATGATCCAAGGCCCGAAGGGGCATCGATGAGGAGGATAAGGACGAAGTGAGGATGATGAAATGATGTTGGGGACATGTGTTAAGTAAGGAGATGGGGGCACTCGAGTAGCAGCGTGAAGGTTCAAGGGGGAGTCGATGAGGAACGAGATGACGAGGAACACAGCGATGAGGGCGACAAGGGCAAGCAGGAGGTTAAGATGAGGTGAGTGCTAAGGTGTATGATGAGATGTGGGATGAACAGAGTAGGAGGACGATATAAGAGCGAGGGTAAGGATGTGTACATATGAGAGGAAGGTTAGGATGAGAGTAAGGATAAGGATGAGGGTAAGGATGGGGATGATAATGAGGATGGAGGTGAGGAGACATCAGTGATGAGGATGAGGATGAGGATGAGGATGGAGGTAAGGATGAAGATGAGGATGAGGACGAGGATGAGAGACTCCATGGGTCGAGAAAGGGATCGGTGATGGCCCCGATCGTGAGGCTTCATGAACATCCCGTACTTCGCGCACTACAGCGCCCCGCGGGGCAACACGCGGCCCATCGTCGAGCAACTGGCGGCGCCTGGGGGACGGGGGCTCGCAGCAGATCTCGAGCAGAAGGGGGGTAGCGAAGAGGAGACAGATGAGGACTGAACGCCGAGCGGAGCGGAGGGTCGAAGTGACGACAGAGGACGGTGCCATCGTTGTCGTCATGATCGCCATCTTGACCGTCGCCATGACACACGGCGACGTACTGTCAAGAATACCGTCACAACGACGGTCACGATGACGATCATGACGACCGTGATGGCACTGGCGCAGGCGCTATCCAGGAACGATCGAGGATGCAAGCGATGGGGGGGGGGGGGGGGTGCGAGGCGTTCGAGCACACCTACGCGGCCATGGACAGGATCACCAAGGGCGGACGCTTCTGTCAGAGCAACATGGAGGCCCATCGCGGGGAGGGAGGACTAGAGAGATGGAGGAGGTTGGCTTCCTTGAGGATGGGGAGGGGTGGCGGGGCAGGAAGGGGAAGGGAGGAGAGCAGGAGTAACGGGGAGCAATGAGAAGAGGAGTATCCGATGAGGAAGCAGCGAGGGGAAGAGGACTGGTTACGGTGAGGGCGAGTGTCGATGATGATGGTGATGGGTGTCCATCTCCAGGGTTGCTGGATAAACATAAGATAGCCGTGCAAGCAATTTGGTAGGGATCAGCACTGGCCCGAGTGCTGATCCCTAAAAGTGGGTGTTCTGCATTCAGTGTCGCAGTGCCATGTTTTCAGACTGTGCGAATGAGAGCCGTCTTCACAATTATCTCTCACCCGTCGTCGATGCGGATGTTGATGCTGGTGATGAGGATGAGGCCGATGATGGCGATAGTGGTGATGCTACTAATGATGCTGATTCGTGTGGTGACGATGTTGCCGACGAGCGAAAGCGATGGCGGCGACGGTGATGATGCGTGTTGCGATGGCGGTGACGATGCAAGCCAGTGTGGTCCACGACAAAGCTGCTGATGTTAGTGATGGTCATGATGCGAATGATGTTGACGATGCTGGTGGGTTTGATGCAGTTGGTGCTGGCGGTGGTACCGCTCACAATGATGATGCTGATAATGCTGATGATGATGATGATGGTGACTGTGCTGGTGGTGATGGTGATGGTGTTGCTGATGGTGATGATGATGATGATGAAGATGTTGATGCTGATGATGAGGATGAGGATGATGAGGATGATGCGGATGATGATGATGATGATGATGATGATGATGATGATGGCGATCCTTGTCGCGTGATAGGCGATCTGGACGGCGGCCTTCCAGCAGACGCTCGCGGTCCAGTACAAGCAGGTGAAGGGAAAGAAGCCGCCGACGAAGTTCATCGCTGGCCACAGGCCAGCACGCCGCCACATGCGCAGATGCAGTGTCGAGGAGGGGCTGGATGATGAGTGGGTTGTGCGTGCGCGGGACATGCGTGTGGGGGCCAGTTGCGCGCGCACGAGTGCCTGCGTACATTATATATATGTGTATACATATACGTATAAATGTGCATGTATAAACATATATGTATATATGTCGGCGCATGCGCGAACGATAGCACGAATGTGCGGACCCACTCCCCCATGCAAACGCACGCGCGGGTGCGCCCGCGCGTATATATGTGTATATACTACATACATACATATATATATATATATATATACATGTATGCGTGTTGGCACACGCACAGACATGTATAGATATCAGCGTCGTGTGTACATATATATATATATGTGTGCACTCACGTAGCGCACATGCGCGCAATCACCCTTCGAATGAGGGAGGGCGAGAATGAGAGAAAGACAGAGAGGGAAAGAGAGAGAGAGAGAGAGAGCGAGATAGACGAGAGCGGCGCGAGGTACCTGAACTCCCGCGCCTTCCGCATCGGCTTCGCCCACTGGCAGCGCGTGCGGAATTCCCAGCTCGGCTCCGCCGAGGTTAGGGGGCCGCTGGGGAGCGATAGTCGGAGAGTCAGCGTTGCCAGCAGCTTCGTGCGCATGCGTCATTTGGCGGAACGCTCATGTTGCATCACGCATTCCGATCACACTGTGCGCAACATTGTGCGTATGTGTAAATATACCTGCATGGGCGTGCATGTATGCATGCGTGATGTATGTATGTATGTATGGGTGTATGTAGGTATGCATGTTTGCAGGTATGTAGCTATGTAGCTATGTATATATATATATATATATATATGTCTATATGTATGTAGATATGTATGTATGGATGTAGGTATACATGGTTGTATGCATGGTTGTTTGTATGTATGTTTGTATGTATGCATGTGTGTAGATAGGTAGATATGTTTGTGTGTATGTATATTTGCATGTATGTACGTGCGAATGTTTGTGCGTTTGTATGTATGGATGTCGGTATGTAGGTATATGTACATCGGTGTCACCTTTCCTGCCCCAGGGCATCCGACCTCGTCTTCTCTGCCCGAGGGCGCGAGGGACAAACGCAGGGTGGTAGGTCGATGAAGAAGACGTGGAGGATGTGGATGACTCGATCATCAGGCGTCACCTCGAGGACGCGCTGGAGATCCAGGAGGGGGGGGGGGCAATGACTCGAGGGGCTGACCTGGTCCTTGGCCTCGAAAACCTACGTGCGTGCGGCGGTTAAACAACGGCTTTGTGATGGCCGCGTAATGTTTCGTCATCTTCCTCCTCCTCGTCTTCCTCCTCTCCCCATCCTCCTCCCGCTCCTCCTCGACCGAAGTCTGGGGGAGAGCTATGCTGCGCGTGTCTGATGCTTCGGCCTTCGCAGAGTCCACGCTGCACCCCACCCCGTGCTCCGATCTGGGGCCGCCCGACCCTCCAGCATGATGAAGGCTGACCGACCATGCCCTGCATGGACATTGCTGACTTGCTCGACACATGCACCTCGAACCTCCTGCTTCGCACAGTCGGCCCGCGTAAGGATGGGCAACCTTCCCAAGGGTACCCTTGCATCCTTGCCCCTTAAACCTACATGATGCCCTCCAAGGCCCTTGCGTCCTTACCGCGCATCTCTTTGATGCGGGTTGACTGCTTTCCCGCTCCATGCATGTGAGCGCCTCCCGTCGAGAGGACTCTCAAGAGGGTGGCTCCGAGGCGGCGCCAGAGGTCAAAGGAGAGGTGGGATTGGCGATCGCGGACACGCAGGCCGACGAGGACGATGAGGACGAGATGGCGATCGAAGATCAGCAGGAGGAGGAGGAGGCAGCTGTGGCGCCAGGAGGAGGAGGAGGAGGAGGAGGAGGACAGGTCGTGAAGATGCCCTTCTGGCGGAGTATCACGGGCAAGAGCAAGCCCAGGAAGAGGAGGAGGTGCAAGAAGGAGCACGTGAAGTATGAGGTCGATGATGATCGAGCTGGAGCGCCCGCTCACGGCATCGAGGCCGTGATCGACGGCATCCCGCCGCAGATGGCGAAACGTGCTGCAGGATCAGGCGCTGCAGGATCAGGCGCTGCAGGATCAGGCGCTGCAGGATCAGGCGCTGCAGGATCGAGCGCTCGAGGCGCTGCAATGAAGAGGCCCGCGGCCGCGCCCATGAAAAGGCCAGCGGCCGCGAAGAAGCGCGCAGCCCAGGCAACCGAGAAGAAGGAGGAGGAGGAGGAGGAGGAGGAGGAGGAGGGGGAGGAGGTGCCCGCAGCCGAGGGGGCAGCAGCCGCGGCCGGCGAGGAGGATCATGCGGCAGCCGAAGAGGACGCGGCAGCCGAAGGGGACAAGGAGGAGAAGGAGGCGGCTGAGGGCGAGGAGGAGGAGGAGGAGGCGGCGGGCGCCGCCGAGGAAGAATCCGACGAGATCATCGAGGTGGATGCCTGGGCGCCCGACATGACGGTACCAGCTGATGACAACTACGGCGACTACACGCGCTGGGGCGTCCAGGTCATGAAGGACACGAACGGCAAGCTGTGGCGCCTCAAGTTCAGGGGCCGCCGCACCGAGGGCTACGACACGATCGCCTATATGGAGGATGAGGCGACCTCGGGCGGCTGGTCACAGCTTATCCAGGTCAGCGACAAAAGCTGGACCGACAGCATCATGGCGAAGTACGACGCGGGCTGCGAGGCCACCATGAGCCGCCTGGTCATGACGTGGCTGTTCTACTTTGCGCTGAAGAACCAGACGGCCGACAAGCAGAAGGTGGCGCAGATCAGGGATCACCTCATCGCGAGTCTCTGATGCGCACTCCCTAGCGCGCGTGGGCCAGAGAGGACAAAAGCACGGAGGAGGATAAATGGAGAAGGGGATCAGGTGGAAGAGCCAGGAGGGAGGAGGAGACTGAGGAGGGGGAGGAGGCGGATGAGGAGGAGGAGGGGGAGGAGGAGGAGGAGAACGAGGAGGATGTGCAGAGAGCTGCAGATCGGGGGCTGGGCAGGCTCGTCGAAGAAGGGCCTCGAGTCCTCGAGCTCGATCTGGCCTACGGGATCGCTCGAGGAGAAGGGGTGGGATGGCGTCGGAGGGAGATCGGAGGAGGACGGCGCCGCCAGTGTAAGGTGCAGCTCGAGCTCGACGTCGAGTCGATCTTCCCGTGCATGCAGATGCACGTGATTGTGCTGCTCAGGCAGCTCGCGGGGCGGCTCCGAGAAAACCCCGAGAAGGCGCAGGATAGGGTCCCGAGATGGCTCCAGGCCCGAGGTACCAGATCGAGGACGGCCGTCGATCGTCCTCGATAGCCATGGGTATCTTGGGCTCGAGCTTTCTTGGGGCTCTCCCTGGGCCCTCTTCGGACCTTCTTGATCCATGGGAAGTTACATGTGAAAGATGGGGTCTCGTACACTACAGTGTCCATGTTTGCAGATGCCGACGTCGGCATCTGACATGGACACTGTAGTGGATCGGTGGATGGCACTATGTATGGTACAAGACGCACTGATGGATGTATGGTGGATGTATGGTGGATCGATGTATGGTACCAGACGCACCGAGCAACATTCGCAGTGGAAAGCCCCCATCGCTTCATCCGTCTCCATCCCCACTTCAGGGCACCAGTTGGGAGCAGTCCACGCTGTATCTGTTCGCCCGAAGTGGGGGGGAGATGAAGCGATGGATACTTTGCAGTGCGATGTGTCTTCCCTGAGGTCGGCGATGAAGAGTCCTTTTGCTCCGCTCATCTGTCTCGATCTCAGCTGTCCACTCTTCATGTGTTCAATCCTCTTGGCCGCAGGCACGCGTGAGCGGGCCGCAGCATGCGCCCCCTGCGCTGGCACGGGGGGGTCGAGGGCGTGCGTGGATGGCAAGGGGGTTGCTGGTGGCAGCATGGGTCCATGAATGGCAGGGCTGGGATTCGACTGCAGCACGTGCTATATGTATAGGATGGCGCGCCTCGCGGATCAGAGCTCAGACACGCAGCTCCATGCTGCCAACGTTCCGTGCCGATGCAGGCGCAAAATACGCATGAGCGGGTCTGCAACCTTGGCTTCGATCGCAGTGGTCAGAACCTTGCTGGCCTCCATGTGGGAGTGGCGTCGACTGGGGGTGAGGATGAGCGTGGATGTGGGGAGGCAGGCATGGGTATTCGAAGTGGGGTGGGGATGGGGGAGGCGGCAGGGCCACGATGTATGCAGTCGATCGGTCCAGATTAGTAGGTCGACCCTGCCAAAGCAAGGGTACCCTTGTGTCCTGTGCCTCGCGTTCCATGCCCCCCCAGATCCCCGTGGCAACGTAGCCCTCAGAAGGCTCTTGTGTCCTGTCGCGCGTCCTGTCCAACCATGTGGAATTCAACGTTCGGCGAGTGCAGGTTGCATTGTGTAGCCGCTTTCCAGATCGAGCAGCCTCGAGCCGAGTCCCGCTCGCGGGGCCCCTGGAGCCGACGCACCGCGGCAGCAGGCGAAACGGGGCGCACAGTTGTGGGCAGGAGTTGGTGCCTGCACATGATCAGAGCATGATGGTGCATACGTATGTATATATGTGCATGTATGGGTGGTGTACACCTAACGTACTTATACACGCATGCGAGTACCAACATGTGTGCATATATACACACATATGTAGGTACATGTGTGTATATGCATCTATGTGTCTATATATATATATATACATATCAGGTTCGTGCACGCATGTGCGTGCACATGCATCGTGTACGCAACACTCGTCAGTTTAATGCCCTTTAATGTTCTATATGTGTTCCCGTTCCCGTTCCTCCTCCTCCTCCGCCTCCTCCTCGAGGATCCTCCTCTTCCCCCCCCTCTCCCTCCTCCTCCGATCCTCCTCCTCCTCCTCCTTCCCGTGAGGCCCTCCTCCTCCTCCTCCCTCCTCCTCCTCCCCCTCCGCCTCCTCTCCTCCTCATCCTCCTCCCCTGCCTTTCCTTCCCGCCTCCATCCTCCCTCTCCTCCTCCTCCCCTACCTCCCTCCACCTCCTCCCTCCTTCCCCTCTCCTCCCCCTCCCTATACCTCCTCCTTCCGACCTCCACCGACTCTTCCTCACTCTTCTCCATCACCCTCCCTCCTCCTCTACCTACTCCCTCACCTAATCCTCCTACTCATACTCATCCCCCTCCCCCTCCTCCTCCTAATCCTCACTCCAGCCTCCTAACCTATCCTCCTCCCTTCTCTCCTACTCTACTCGAATCATTCCCCATCTGCCTCCTCGAGGATCCTCTCCCTCCTCCTCGATATCTCCCTCGATCCTCAGGTTGGTCGGGGTGCGGCTGGCTTGCTCCGCCTCGTGATCGCGCGCGGGGCCGCGACCGCTAGGCGCGTATGCGCGTGCGTGCAGCGCGCGCGCGATCGGCACATGCGCGCGGGCGCATGTACGCGCGCAGCGAGAGACCGCCCCCCCCCCCCCGCCGCCCAGGTGCACCTGGGTTTGCTCGGCGCCGTGGTCGACAGTACTGGTGGCGATGTGTGTTTTGGCTTCTCTACTACACTTACAACGCAGCAGCACGACTGGGCGCCCCTGATAGGGGCGCCCGTTGGCGGGCCCTCGAGGTGTGTGTGTGTGGGGGTGGGGGGGGGCGGGGGGGGGGGCGGGGGGGGGGGGGGGGGGGGGGGAGCTGGGACTGGCCGCCCTGCAGGCCATGGCCTCCGCGGAGTTGTTGGCGTTCGGGCACGCGCGCGGGGGCGCGCCTCCGTTTTCCCGTTCTCGAGGGGGCGGCGCTGGGGCTGGGTTACCTCCTCGGGCTACGCCGTTCCTCGTTCGTAGCGCCATGCAAGATCCAAGCGGGGGGGGCTGCAAGCCCCCCGCGTTGCTTCCCGCGCGCGGCGGATCCGATCCGCGCCCGAGGAGCACCGACCCCCGAGCGCCCCGCGACGCCCTCCGCGTCGCGGGTGCCCAGACGCTCGCCCGCGGGACAGCGGTTGCCGCGGAGAGGTCGGCCATCGCCCCCGCCTGGGAGTTGGCCTGCCAGCAAACATTGCAGAGCGTTCGAGCCCCCGCCCCTCCCTTTTGCGGGGCCTTCGAGTGTTTCTCTAATGTTCTTTAATGTTCTTTAATGTTCTCTAATGTTCTTAATGTTCTTTAATGTTCTTTAATGTTCTTAATGTTCTTTAATGTCCTTGAATGTTCTTTATGTAATGTTCTTTAATGTTCTTTAATGTTCTCTAATGTTCGTAATGATGTTC